TGCCAGATTAGAAGAATTATTTTTGAGTTTTAATAGTACTGTGCCTCATAATGGGGTATATTCATAGAATTTGTGTGTGTGTGTGTGTGTGTGAAAGAAACAAGATGGCTGCCATGACCTTACAATCAGAGCCCTGCCCCTTTCCATGTCTGAACTGTTCAGTTTTCCCTTACTATATAAAGTATAGCAATTCTGACCATTGTACAAAGTTATTAAGCATCTTATGCTCTAAACCGGTTATTAAATGGGATATACATTTGTCTTTAATGCGCTGGATTTAGCCTTTAATTCATGATATGTAACAATTAAGAAAGATTAAGAAATGTCTGCCTATTTAAACTCTGTCTGAATGAGCTTTGCTCCTAAACGTGCTTGGTTCCCTCAGACGGCTGTACAGATAGTCCTCGTTTAGCAACCACAATTGGGACCAGCAACTTGGTTGTTAAGCGACTGGATTTAAGGACAGATATACTTTAGCTCCTTTCCATATTCTTTATTAATTCTATCATTCTAAAATGAGTTCCACGCTCATTTTATCCCCCAGTGAATAAAGGTACCTCCATTCCATTGCATGCTGTTGATGAAGTTCTACAACTCACATAGATGCATGGTAGAGCATTCAAATTCTTGCTGTATGTTCTAGACAATGCTGGTCTTTGATTACATGTATTTAATCCCTTTTGTAATCTGTGACTGAAAGTGGAGCATTAATGGCATCAATATAGAACAATCAAAGGTCTCACGTATCTAGGAGTTACTTATTATTCCTCTTTACAGACCTATAACAATACTAATGCTATTCTACAATTTGCTAGTAGCCATACCAGTAACAATTGCTCCAAGTTATTCAGACCTTAACACTGAGCCTCTTTATGATTCTCAGATCTGCTGCTGCAAGTAGGGCAATCCAACTTCATCAAATGTATTCTTGAGGTTCCTCAGTATGTCACCAGTGCTACTATATGCTTGGAATCCAGGCTACTCTTGACTGAGGTTCCCTTAAGATTCTGTGATTTAAAACAGTTTGTTAACTAGGAAGATATAGTTTTTATTGTGACAGAATAGTTTGTCATAGTCTACCTACCACATTGTCCAATTAATCCATTTTTTTTTTAATGTGCCTTTTTTGGTTTGTAAAAGTTCTTCAGATGGCAGTAATCCAGGAAAATTAATTGGCTGAGGCTTTCTGTGCCCATTTGTGGTTGAAGATACCTACAAGAGGCCTCTCCAAGTAGCTAAATACAAGCGAGGACATCTTTTATCATTATCTGCCCCGTGATGCTCTTTACCATGTCATCTTATATTTGTCTTTTTCTCAACAAGTGGGCAAGCTTCTGTATAAAAAAACTGCAGCCACTCTATGAAGCCTAATTGGAGAGGCTGGTATACCAGAGACTGGTGCTTTGCTCCACACTAGTGAACAAGTACCTAAATATAAAATGAAAATATTAGATGGGGCAGGAGGTCTGGTACAAGACAGGGGACATGTTCAAGGTCACACTGATGACCATAGGTGCTTCATTAAATACGTAAATCCCAACTCATGGATTTTCAGCCATAAGCACAGAAACTTTGAAGTATGTTTGGAATAGTTGAGAAGGTACATAGCATCTCAGTGTCTGGCCCCAGTTAAGTGCTCTTTCTGGAAATCTTTCACCTAGGGGAAAATAATTTCTTTTGGGAGATAGATGATGGTAATTTCCTGCTTCATGAGTAAGTTGCCACCTCTGTTTTAGTTGAGGGTGATCCCCTGTTCTGTTCCTTGGACTTGGACAAAACTTAATGTATGATATTGTAGTAGGACCCCTCCCCCTTTAATTGTTAGATCTAGCAGGTGGTACAGTACTTAAAGGACTACCCCACAATGAAGATATTTCTTCATAAAAATGATTAAGGTTATTTCCTTACTAGTGGCTTATAGCATCTACAGAATCATCAGTAACTATGTTAGGCTTTATAAAATGACAACAATGGCTGGATGATGTGTGACGATGCTATAAGCCACATTTCAGTGGGGAAATGACTGAAGGAGAATGTACCCCAAATTAGCAATTTGGGAAAACACTATTTTCTGGGAAATAAAAATGAACCATATATCCTTCATCAACAAGATAATCTAATACGTCTACCAAAATACATTAAATAACTATTCTTATCCCTTCTTTCACTGGAATGGGTGATGAATAACCTCTTCCTAAAACTGTGCTCAATCTCTTCCTTTCTCACTTATATTTTAGAAACAAGTAGATAAGTGCTTCAAGACATGATTTAGAGGTACAAGGTCAATCTTGTAGTAATACAAGTTAAACAAGCTTATTGTGCTCAGTTAGAGTTCATTGCTAATTGACAATTACATTGTAGTTTATATAATCCTTTAAGAAATGTACAGGCCTAAGTAAGCTTTTCATGTCAAGGTAGATTGTTGGGGGACTGACGCAGAACAGGAAAAGCTGGTAACGTGAACAGGTCTGATGCTACTTGCTAAGATCATAGAAACGCCAATATATGCCAAAAATCTTGAGGAGGAAGTAATTAAATGGGTTTTGTTCTTATTCATGACTGAGAAAAGAAGGGCCCCAGTCCTGTAGACATAGACATTGCTTTGACTTCTCAAACCAACAAATAAATAAATAAATGATTCAAAGCAGGTTTGTTTTCTTTTTCTCAACAAACAAGATACCATCTTTGTTGTGTCATGTTGTATGTCCTGTTGGGTAACACAATACTTGATTATAGGTCATTTCTAAAATAATTTCTTTTACTGTGAAATGCCTTGGACATTACATTTAGAAGGAAGTAGGATATTAATTTATACTACATTTGAGTTTAGGGACATAAGAGTGAATCACATTGCTTCTTCTACCTTCTACCTCTTTTCCCTTCATATCTCCTCCTATACATTCATTTGATGGTAGTATAACATTAAGTCTACAATGGTACAAATTAAAATTAATGGCACTAATCAGCTATGTCCTTGTAATGAGAATTTTAAGCCAAAGCTTGAAAAAGTCTGTAGCATTCATCATGGTTATTAGAGATGTGAAGGCCATAGTTGAACCAAGGTCTAAGAGATAGTGGCATCAGGCTTGTCTTTTCTCAGACTGTGAACTAAGCAGTTCAGCCTAGTTAATAATTGCATGGGAGACACTGGGAAATACTATGGCTGTAGGCTGGACTGGGAATACTGTAAGCCATCCTGGAAGACAAACCACTTCCATAACATTGCCAAGAAAACTGCATGCTTGTATCCATGCAGTCTCTAGAAATCCAATTCAACTCAAGATGGGTCATTTTCTTTACTGTTCAATACTGGAAGGGGGAAATCACTTGTAAATTTAATTAAATTTAGTATTTAATCAAACCCTAGGCAACTGTGGAATACAGGTTTGTGGTTGAATTCTCATGTAATATTTGGCCAGGATTTTTAACCTTCATTTAAACATCATGGTGCTAAATGATAATATGGTTTATATTTTTTTGTTTCAATATGAGTGTAAGCTGTACTATGTTTAACCTTATAAGGAGATGAGGTTACTACAGCTTTTTCAACAAACCACAGCTAAAATATCCTGAGTTAGTTCAGTAAGAAACTCAACTGAAGAGAGAAACAAATGAAATACTTTGTGGTGTAGTGTCATATATGGACCTGGCCTGTGTATCTTCTCATGATAGGTCTTGATGTTAGATGCACCTTTGTTACAATAGCATTCTTACCTTAGTTTTTTTTTTTCCTGTCCATTAAGGTTCTTGCCATCCATAGCTTCCATTATACCCTGGGCAAGGATGTCAGTGTAAATAAGGACCATCTCAACGGAAACAATCAGGTGGGTATACCATCAAGTCTTTCAGTTAAGCACATTCATTTAAAATGTAAAATGAAATTCATGGTAAAATTAGTTTTTATTATTATTTCTTTGAATTGGAATACTTAATGTATTGTAAAGTGAAATATGAATTAGATTCATACAAGGATGCACTTAGTCTGAAACTTGGGTCAACAAAGTGCAGTTGCTCTGTTCACCTTCTGAAACAATATTTTCACAATATTAGGACTTAACATGATGGTTGGTTCGCTAATCATGGCTGGTTTCTCATGACATTCTAAACTACCTGTTTTAGCATGATGAGTGCCTACAGCAAGTGAATCTCTGGCAGTATGTTGATAAGCTTGAGCAGATTTTAGGTCTGTGATCTGTGATTTGCATCCAACCCTTCAATTTTTACTCCCAAAATTCAAAGTCAAACCCCACTGATTTGGGGCAGCTTGATTTTTTCCGTTCTCATTTCAACCCCTCTGCTCCCTGACAAAAGGTAAAAAATGGAGGCTTAACTCACTTCGCATATCTATTTTGCACTTTTAAACTTTGCATTTCAAAAAATGGGTAGAACATAGCTAGCTCCGTCTCTCAGTTATGTCATCCTGCTGAGGGACATACCCTCCTACTGCTCTTGGAAGCTATTTTTAAATTCCTTTCCTTCATTAGAAAGAACAATACCAGTTTTTGTTTTGCCTTAGAGGGTGGTTGTGCTTGTCTGACCTTGTTTGGGCTTCAGTGATGAGAAGGGTTGGACCTAGTTAATATTTGGATGACAGATCATCAGGGGATCCCAAGGCTAGACTAGCCAGGGGAGTCAAGAACTATCCCAAAGAAAGGCAGTAGCAGAGGCCTTCTGTACTGTTGCCTGGAAAACTGCATAAATGATGTCTCCAAGGAATCAAGTTCAACTTGAAGGAGGCTGTCCATACCTGCCCTTGTTTCAGGTCCCCAGTTGTATATGCGCATGTCATTTAGAGCATATCCTGAAAAGGTTATTGTGTATCAGCATAGAAATAAACCTGGGTTCTGTCTAGCTCACTACTGTGGACACTGATTGACAGCATCTCTGTAGCTTGGCAGGCAGAATCCTCCCCATCCTTACCTGGAGATGCTGAGGACTGATCCTGCAACCTTCCATCAGATCAGCAGATGTTCTGCCCAAGAGTTGTAGCTGTTTGTGATTGCTGGTCCTCTGTGGCTGATCGCAGATGGCTTTCAGAATTCTTCAGAACATGATGTGGAGATCTTGTGCTCAGTACTTTGGATTATAGAGGGACATGCCACAAAAGGTGGATATCATATAATTGAACCCTTTCATTCATAGGATTGGGACCCTTTTAGCAGTCTGCGTCCATTGCGTCGCACAAAACGGAGATGGGTCATTACCACTCTTGAACTTGAGGAAGAAGACAGTGGCCCGTTCCCCAAACTGATTGGAGAGGTAAAAACAAAAATGTTGACTTCTTAGCATTACCAACTTTTTTTCCCCTCTACTACTGTGCATTGCTGATAGTGAGGCCAAAGTAAATAAGCAGCTAATAAAGGCACACAGGAATTTATGGCCTTGTTCTTGTATGTGGGATCTATTACCTCCAGGGTATTTGCAGACACTTTTTTTAGTGACCACTAGGCTCACCAGATTTATTCACTTATTTTGCACGTTTTCTAAAAAAAATTATATAAACAAAAAGCCTACAAAAATTATATAAACAAAGCAAAAAGCCAGTTCCAAGTATGATCTCTGCTGCCAAAAATGTTTCTGGGCCCCATATATGCCCGGAGGCATTCTTGGAAAATGATATGTGCTGTAATCCAGTGGCTTGTTTAGAAGTATGACCATCTGCCCCAGGAAAGAAGCAGAAGTAGACTGAGGTGGTAGAAAGCAACTGGGGGGAAGCACCTCATCAGTTTCGTGTCTTCTGATTGGCCACAGCCACCACGGTAGTCTTTTTGTGAGAGTTCCTCTTCCATGCTCTCAGAAAGTGCGTAGACTGCAGAGTAGACTTGCATATGTTCTCAAAACCCTCAAAGAAGCTAGAAGTCCCTGGTTTATGTTGTAATGAAATTGTGAATTGGTTGCGGGGGGACATACAAAAAACAAAGCACCATGTCAGTTAATGCTACACAAAAAACAACTGTGTTTTGGGTTTACATGTGCAAAGCCCACTCTTCCATGTATGTTTTGGGATGGCCACGTGGATGAAATTTAATGCACAAGGAAGCAGGAACAGAAATGGTGAGCCTCTAAAGATATAGCCTCCTTTGAGTCAAATGCATCCAATGAAGTGAGCTGTAGCTTACAAAAGCTTAGGCCTTTTAATAAAAGACTTTAGTCGGACAAGGTGCTACCAGACTCCTCTTGATTTTTTGAGTCAAAATTGATTCCCAGAAGTAATTTGTCCTTGTTTTCTGGGATGTTCTTCTGACTTCTCAAGTGATTCCACAGTCCTTGGATTTCCTTGTGGTCTCCTGTCCAGGTATCAGCTAGGTCTATTCTTTATTTGATTTGCGTAGCCACCCAGAGTCACCTAGATGAGAGGGGCAGCTATACAAACTGAATGAATGAAATCTATATAATTTTTCAAGATCAGCTGATGTTCCCACCTGTTAGATGTATTTACATTCTCTTTCCTCAAATATGAATGTCAGTAGTATTTACTTACCTTCTGTGACATTTTTTGGCTCCTTACCCAATTCTTTCCTAGTGATATATTTTATTAAATAAGTTTTGGAAGGGTATTTTTAATTCTCCTAGAAATGTGGCAAAATTAAGGGTCTTCTTGCAGAGTGAAGAGAATAATAAATATATACATTTCCTTGTTCCTATCAATGATTAGTTTATAAACAGACTTAGTTGCATTTCTTCGGATTTTGCTACTTCATACTACTGCAAAGACAATGGATAGTTCTACGATTTTTCAGCCTTGCAGTCCCACCCTGTTGTGTTGAATGTATGTGCGTGTTTAATATGAGGATGTTCTCTGAAGTAGCTTTGCAGAAAATAATGACACGTGAAAATCAATGAAGAGAGATGAAATAATGTATAACCAAGTTAAGGGGAATGTATTCCTGTAAAACGTGGTGATGATGGCCAGTAACATGGATGGCTTTATAAGGGGATTGGATATATTGAAGCAGGACTGGACTGTCAAGGGCTATTAGTCTTGCAGACTCACGGTGACCCCTGAATACAAGTCGAAGAGCAACAGCAGGAGAAGTTGGACTTCTGTCTCCTGCTTGTGAGCACCTGATTGGCTTCTCATTGGCCCCTATAACTCATTGCTGGACTAAGATGGACCTTAACCTGATCCAGCAGGCCTGTTCTTAAAGGACTATGTATATGATCCCAGAGAACCAGTTTGGTGCAGTGGTTAAAGGCACTGGGGTCAGAAAACAAGACTTTCTGTGAGTTCTAATCTTGCCTTGGGCATGAAGTCAGCTGGGGGGACTTTGGGGCAGTCCCTCTCTCTCAGCTTTAGGAAGAAGACAAAGGCAAACTACATCCAAAAAATGTTGCCAAGAAAACTGCATGGAAAGAATAATCTATACCTCTATATGTGGTTGGACTACAGTTGTATATTTCTATTAGTGGAAAAGGCATGCTATTCCTTATCAAAATCCCAACTAGAAGGGTCTCCAGATCACTAGGAAGCACAAGAGGCTGCATGGGAGAAGACAGGAAGAAAAAATGCATTTCCATCATCAAAATATTGAATTGGAGGATCTTTTGCCTTCATAGCAATAGTGGCAATAGTAGTAGCAATAATAATAGTAATGATTTTTAAGTAGATGAGTTGGCATTTGGAAATCTTACCTAGTGTTTGCAATCTGTTTTGTTTGTAGCTCTTCAATGATGTATCCCAAGATGCCTCCTTAAAATATTCAATTAGTGGACCTGGTGTGGATGAATATCCAGAGGTTGGATTGTTTTCTATCAAGGATGATGCCAGTGGAGATGTATATGTGCATCGTTCTATAGATCGAGAGAAGACGTCCTCTTTTCCAGTACTTATTTATTTATTTTACAGCATTTCTGGTGTGCTCCAATCCTCACAAATTCTGGCCAAAATCCTTCAGTGAACTGAGAAAAAATCCAAATGCAACAAATCCCAACTAATGCAACTTTTTCTTGAACCCATCATGACATCCCCAGTCAAATTGTTCCAAAGGCATGATAGATTGTCTGCTTCTGAAAAGCAAGGAGGGGAGAAGCTGGTGAAGGACAAGTCCATAAAGTGGGAGATAATATTGAGAAGACCTGCTAGTTTGCCCATAGCTTTTCACACCTTGTCCCGTATACCTGGGAAGGAGGGGGGACTCTCAGGAGACCTTTTCATGACGATCGAACAGGATAGGCAGATTCTGTTGTTAGGGTGTTGTCTGATATAACCTGGCATTGCACTAAGTGAGGCTTTAAAGGTAGGGATCAGCATGATTTGGGCCTAGAAATCTATTAGGAAGCAGTGCAATAACTTTAAGGTAAGTGTTCTTCTGCACTGAGGTGGATGGCCAGCATTTTAGCCACTGTGTGGCAACCCCATGTAGATTGTGTGAGAATAGTCCTATTAAGTGTTGATTGCAGCATGGCATCTTGATCTAGGTAGGGCCATAATTGAAGTACCAGCCAAAGCTGGGTGAAGACCTCCCTGCTCTTGGGCTCCACTTGCTTGCTTAAGCATGAGCTGCAAATCCAGGGGATTTCCAAATCACAGACCAGCTCCTTTAGGAGGGATGTGACCCCATCCAGAACAGCTAATGGTGTTATTGGGTGCTACATTGTTTATTGATGAACAGCAGCCTTATCTTGCAGGGATTTTGTTTGAATTTGTTTCACCCCATCCAGCTCCTCAAAGTTTCCAACCACCAGTTCAGGACTTCCATGGCATCTGCAGCTTGGCCTGGGGGGGTGATATAAAGGTGGGTATCATCAGCATAGTGATGACACCTCACCCTGAACTGAGAAATGGTTGAGAAAAGCAATTAAGCAATGTGTTTCCTAACTGCTCTCCTAATGGAAATATTTTCTATTATTCCCTGTTGGAACTAAATTCTATGCTGGCTGATAATTCCTAGGAATCAATGTTCAAGAGCCCTCTCAGTGATGATTTTGCAGTAGTGTGTGCCTGCTGACCCGTGTCAAAGGTTTGCCTTCCAGCGAACTTTCACCTCTTGCAAATGTTGGTTTTGACCTTCTGTTCAGCCAACTTGTGTCAAACCATCAGAAAAGTTTCTAAAAATGGGGTTCTTAATTGTCCTTAAAGGTCAAAAGTGGTTGTTTCTAACCTCAAAAATAAATAGGAACAGCAATAAGATTCATCTCCCTGCTCCTGTTTCAAACAAACAAAAAACCTCTACTTATACCTCAAATCACAATATTTTTAATTCTTTAATTATGACTACAACGGTACCTCAGTTCTGTTACTGACACCCTTATTATTGATTGCAACCACTAAGTGAGACTAAGATTTTAAAAGATAAATCTTTATTAACTTCTAGAGGGCGGATTTTTATCTAAGATGGTTACTAATTGATCTTGGGAAAAAAACCAACGTTTTTTGGGGTTTTTTTTAGTTTTGCATAGTTCATCTCATAATCTTGTATACAAGACTGTATCTGAGTAATCAGTTTGCTTGCTCAGCCTGCGGTCCAACTACTAAGTAAGAATGAAATATTCCTTGTCTGTATGGTTCTTCATTTCAATTGTACCCATACATTTGTGAGTAACTTCTTAAACTAAATTTTTAAGAATAGCATATTTTGTAAGGATAGTTGGAGAATAGCCAAACCTTTTGCTTTTAACAGAGATCGTGAGTCTTGGGAGGCAAAACTGAAGATGCTAGATTACATATAGCAGAAAATCTCATCTAAAACTCAGCCCTTATTTTTAAAAATCCAAGTATTTGCTCAGCTCTTAAACTTATTATAGTTCCCCCCAAACTAATGGCTTCAAGGTATATGAGACTGGAAGTGTAATCATGAGGGCTAGGACTGGTTAGTTCAATTCATTTATTGATTAAATTTTAAAGTATAGTTCCCCAATATATCTGGAGGCTTAACACAGATTTTAAAAAACCCAAGGGGAAAAAACCTCCCCCCAGAACTCAGCGTCATTTGACAAATCAAGGCCATACCCACATATTTGGCTCCCCCCATTTGCAATATTTAGCATGGCTCCCAGTGATCAAAAGCTTGTCAATAAAGACAGATAAGACGATTAGCAACAAAATAATTTCTGCTTTGTGTTATCAGTTTTAACGTGGTTTCTTGTTGACTATCTACTGTTTAGATACGTTTTGATGTTCATGATGGAATGACTGGAACAATACTAGACAATTCCTTGTTCTTCAATGTTCAGATTAAGGATATAAATGACAATGCTCCTGAATTTCTCCAAGAGGAATTTAACATTAATGTGAAAGAAAATCACAACAAAAGTGAGTATCCTTGAAAATCTGGGCAATATCAGGCAAGATTGAGTCCATTGCTTTAACCTTTATGTATAGTCCAGTCCTCCTTTTTTTTTTTTGGCCACGGTATTAATTGGAAAGCAGGGTCCATTGCCATATTCACAACAAAATCTCACAATATAAATAAATAAATACACCCCCCATACACACACTCACATAGACTACATCTTCTTGTTTCACTGTGTTTTTAAGACTAAAACATGGCCCAGCCCTGTATTATGTCATGCAGCTGGTCTGAGAGAGGGTTGAACAAAACTTCCCAGTTTAGACCCAACTTTCTTTCATCTCATCTTCCCCCTTTCTTTCACCTCAACTCAATTTCAACCTCCCCGCCTCTCCTCTCCTCTCCTCTCCTCTCCTCTCCTCTCCTCTCTCCTTTTTGGGAAGAGAGTTTGGAAGAGGAATTAAACTGCTGTCCTGTATTCACACCTGCACCTCCATTGTACAAGCCATATGGTTTCTTGAACCTTTCTAAGGTTTCTTAAACGTTTCTAATACCATAACTCACTTTTGTAGAGCCTGGTTGTGACTCTTTCTTCTCTGAAGAATACATAACATTCTTGCTTCTGGAAGATGGCCAATAATGAAACTTCTGAGGAGTTTTAACCCTTTTGCTTCTACAGTTGTCCCTTCTTGCTACAATCCAGGAAGACCAGTCACCCTGGTGTTTTGGGGAAATTTGTAAAGTTTGGATACTACAGTGGGAAATTTGATAAATGGCCATGTTAGTTTATGGTGAAATGGGAAAAGTTCTTTAACCAATAGTCAGTTGATGATGGGCAACAGGGTACCATGAAATCTGCCATGCTAAATTCCTTATTCTGTGGTATCCCCACCGTGAAGTCTGTTGCCTCCAATTTAGTTTACCTCTTGGTCTATAACATTTAGGTTGTGGCTTGGTGGTGGGAAGGAACCCATGGTTGAATGTGCAGGCATTTGTATTGTCCAGCAAGACTTTGAGAATCTTTATGTGTTTGTTTATTACCAATGCTTTTATGCTGCTTCAATCATTTTTACTTTCTGGGATTTTTCACTGTCATAGTACAATTTAAAGTCCCTTTTGAAGAAATCTGTATTTCTTCCTATTCATTTCCAGTTACAGATGAAATGAAACTGCATGATCAGTATTGAAAGTCACATAGGGAATATGCAGTTGAATGCATAATTTGGACGCACACTTCAAGGTGCATCTAATTTACTTCCTGATTTAACAAGGAGACATAACCATGTTCCTTTTTACAATCAACTGTATCTGTGTTGATACTGAAACTGAGATAGTTACTCATAAACTCCCAGCTTGCCCAGTCTATCAACACTGGAGAGCAGAATCGATAACTCCTCCAGCAGCAAAATATTCAAGTTGCCACTAACAAACAACAATGCACTTTTTAGTAAGTGTTCAGTACACTGACGTTTCCAAGAAAATGGCTGAAATGGCTAACCCTATATCTGTTGGTATCAAAAGCCACTAGACTTAGCTGGAATTACATACTCTAAATTTATCATCTTCAATTATTGTACTTAACTCCCCTCCTTTTTTTTTTTAACATATTAATTAAACAAATGAATTACAATTAGTTTTATTGTATATTGTATTACCACTTGGACACTTAGTCCAAATATGTTATGTTAAGCTGTTGGGCTTTCACTGTAATAAAGTCTACCTATTTGTCCTTGAAGCCCCCAAAAGTAAGACCATGCAAGAGTTTCAGTGCAGTTTTTGGGTGATTCTGACGATGGAGAAAAGGGGATTAGTATTGTATATCCCTTATGGCATATCTTGTGGAGTAAAATCAAAGACTAGATTATCCTTTAAGTGGCATAAATGGGGAGATGGTGGCCTTTTCTGGACAGAAACACTAGGCATCATATATAAGTGTATATACGCTTGGGAATACATATTCCATCCATAGATCCCTGTGAAATACATGATATTGCTGCAATGTGCTTCAATTTTCCCTGTTGTAGATGAACCTGTTTTCAATGTCACAGCAGTGGATAAAGACCAAGAAGGCACTGCAAATTCTGAAGTGGTATTTTGTCTGCTTTCACAAACACCTCATCTGAAGCCTCCTCTCTTCACTATGGATTCCTCTAGTGGCTTAATACGCATTACACAATGCTTGGATTATGAGGTACAGTGCTTACAAACAAAGTTACAATGATGTTTACATGAGATCTGTATCTTGCCATGCAGACGCTCCAGTAAAACCATCCAATAAAATTAGACTGTCACCAGGTCTTGTTGATTCTGTCTTCCAGTCTAGTAGGTCAATAGCTAACCTTAATCCACCCCATTAAACTAAATGCTCATCTTAGCTCTTCTGAGTGTTGCGAATGAACATTAAAAAGAATGTGGATAGAATTGGTATTTGGAGCCAGGAAATTAGCTAAATTTAACTACTTGTTAACAAATCACAGAGCTACAGTGGAACCTCGGTTTACGAACTTAATTCGTTCCATGACTCTGGTCGCACCCCGAATTGGTCGCAACCCGAAGGAAATTTCCCC